AATATCAAAGGACAGCCAATTTGGTTCAAAAATGTGGCGAAAATTCTCAAAATATCAAAAAACCACGGGGTACCATTATATGGGAGCCTTAGGAAAACATAATCCAATCAGGTGCATATTCGATCCACTAATTCCCATAGGTATAGGAAGAATTTGTGCAAATTGTGAGCAGCATTTCACAAATTATTTAGATGTTATCCTTTTAGCGCTGTGAACCTACTACAAGATAATCAATAACATAGTCTCCATATAAAGGTCCTGACCGATTTAAGGAATTACAAAAATATTCTCGAGATCACTTTACTTCTGAATATAATCAAAGTGGTGTAAGTTATCATATGATCCCCATCGTTTGCCCCTTTGCTCCTTTACTTACTGTTTAACTTGTTTCTTTTTCAATTTATATGAATTAAAAACGATGCAGGTTTAATTTTGGTTTTTGTACACAACAACAAGATGATAAGGGTTTAGTAAATATTTACTACTGATGTTTAACTTTGAAATGTCAAATTTGAATTGTTGTCTGGTCTGCCTTTCTAAAGTGCATTGTGATGTGGACGACATTTATAGTTGTTCGTTCATGTTTTTGCCTACAAGCAAGCCGTTTCCTCACTTGGAACCTGACAATGCCTTGGAGTCATTCTGATCTCCTGTAAAAATAAATATCTGTTATCATATGGAATTTTACAAATATTTAAATGATCAAGATGTGAAATGTCCTTCCTTTCATTTGGAATAAATTAACTAAAACAAAAGAAAAAAATCAACCAAAACAATCATTAATAACATCATTAGAAGATTGAAGTTGAGGTCAATGAAGCTACACGAAAATAGTACAGTAGATCGCCAACACAAAAACAAACAACAACAATAATAATGAAAATGTAAAGTAATTTTATTACTTCATTTATATCATCAAACAAATCCGCCTACCGATATCAAGTGGTCATGTACTTAAGCTTAAAACTCTGTTCGCAACTTTTCAAGTACCCATCATCATTGCCTCCAGAAAAAATTCAAACATTTATTCCATTCACCACCTAATAGATAAGGTTGAAGGTATAAAAGCAACTACAACAACCATCTACACATCTTATTATCATTTGAGATCTTAAATGGCGTGGTAAAAATCGAAATATAGAGCAAAACGTGCCTTCCGCTGCTGCTACTTGAGCCGAAGAAGAAGCCGAATCCCTTGATAATTATTATGAAGATTTGATGGGTGATGAATTTTGATTGTTTCTACTATTTCATTATATTTTTTTATTGGCTAGACGAATTTAAAATAAAAAAAATGTTTAGTGGTATTTCGAGATGTTTTGGCAAGATTATTTACAGCATATGCCTATAGCAGCAAAATTTCGTGCGTGTGATTTCGAAAATGGCATCTTCACCTGTTTTGTCTACTTTCGATTTTGAATTAAAAGCGACTATTAACATTAGCTAGCAAAGGGATAGGCTCTTCTTGTTTTGAATTTTAATGATCAAATTTTTACTATGGGAGAGTTACAGTAATGTTGAAATTTTGGTCTACATTTTGTTGATACAATCATACGATATAAATTTATTGTTGAATAACTCTCATAGTGTGGAAATAGTCTTTTACGACAACAACCAAATTTTGCCATTCCATAAATGTTGTCATTTTGTTTGTAAAACCTCGAAATATTCAGTTGGAGACTCCATACCTTAGGTACATACAGCTGTGTTCATTAAAATGGTAGTGCAATTGGGTTGTTAGGACTGAACTTTAGATTTTTTTAACCCTTTGTGGCCCAATGTTGCTCACAGGCAACAAAATGTTTTAGAGCTTGTTTTTAACATGCAATTAGTAGATATATATGATTATGGACGACATATATCATAAGAAAAATCAAAAAAATTCAAAAATATGGTAAAGTTATGAGTTTTTCAATATAGAGAAGAGGGTAAATTTGTGTATACAGTCCAAATTATTTAAATCGCTTCATATTTAAATTTTACGTATTCTGCCATCAGAATTATTTTTGATTCCTGTAAAAATGAATATAGGGGAAAATTTAAATGATTCTTCTGTCTGTTTTTTTTTTTTTTTTTTTGATATTGGACTTTCAAAATGGTGTGCTCAATTTCGAGCGAAAGTGCGGCTCGAAAGCATAGATGTGTTCAATATGTTACGAAATGTGTTCAATAAAAAAACATATGTTTCATTGGAATTTGCAATTTGTTTACCAACAAAATTAAGAAATAATACGCCTGCTGGCTTATTAATTGCCCTGGTTTCTACCAGAAAAAGTCTAATGATACTGGAACGTGATAAAATAAGCATTTATGGATATTTTGAGAGAAGTGGGTCCTTTTATACACAAGGGTGCCATTCCCGAAAGCCTTCAGTTAGCAGGTACCTTAAGATTTCTGGCTGTTGGTGGGTTTCAGAGGGTAGTGGCAAATGATTTAAATATAAGTGTTGATCGCACAACAATGTGTAAAATATTGTGGAGAGTAATGAAAGTCCTGGAAGACAAAGTGTGTGCAAGCTGTGGACAGCTGCAGACCAGGATGTAGCCATGATGCTTTTATTTGGCATATGAGTGCAGCTAGGCAGTATTAACAAAAGAGGAAATGGTATGCAAAATAGTTGGCTTCTAGGAGACAGTGGTTACGCTTTAGAAACATTTTTTTGACGGAGCATGGATCTTGTCAACATCGATATAATAAAGTGCACACATCTGTAAGAAACATTATTAAAAGGACTATTGGAAATCTTAAAAGTAGATTTTTTATAGATTCTATTTTTATTTTGATCATATGGTGGTTGAGTTGCCAGATTGATCTCAAAAATGTTACGCGCTGTTTTTGATAAAATGACCCCTTTTTTATTTTCTTTAATCTATATACATATATAAAATAGAAAAAAATTTGTTTGTTTGTATTTTACCGATAGACGCCAAAACCGCTGAACAGATCTTAATGAGATTTACTCTGTATGTCGGGACATGTACTGAAAGTAACATAGGCTATATAAACTTTTAAAATTCCGCGTGGATGCGGAGTTATGTCATCAATAGTAAACATACCTCGAAATTTCTGAACATATAATATGCGTTTATCTTAAGAACGGTTACAGATACCGTTTTCAAAATTTGCCTGAATGGTGAAGGTGTGAATACACACCATCCATACATGGTACGATCAAAGGAAAATGCACTTTTTACTGCATTTTAAAAATCAGCATATTAAAAATTGAAAATATTTTGTTTGTAGACTCTAAAATGCTGAAAAGATTTGACTGAGATTTTCACAGAACGTCATAACATGCCCCGGGAATAACATATGCTAAGATTCCACTTCTAAGATTTCCCGAGGATGCGTTGTTATAGCATCGAACGTAATCATACCTCAAAAATTATGAACATGTAAATCGTGTATATCTTAAGTACGGTTACAGACACCGACTTCAAATTATTGCTGAGTACCGTGAGTGTAAATACGCATCATCCACACGACAGACCGCGGACAAGGGAAAATGCAGAACTCATTGTATTTAAATTTATACGTATAAAAAATATTGTTTGTGGACTTTGAGGCTGCATATTTATTCCTTTATACTGTAGTACTAAGAGCTAAACACTTTCTTCAAGGCTTCTAAACAAATTGTGGAGGAGGTAACAGATGGAGGTGATAATATATATTTTTTGAATGGTTGTTACTTTGCGAAAAAATTGTGTTTCAAGAAAACAAAAATTACCACCATTACAGAAAACAGCGAATTATTTAATAACTACTATACAACTACTACAACATGGACATTAATGCGAGCATATAAAAATACAAGGGTTTACCTAATTTAAAATTAAATTTAGTAAATATTGCAGCTGCATATAGGATGCTTACTAATTAACCATATCTAAATTTGAATTTGATAACTTTAGCAGGGGCAGCGAAGCGCCACGGGTCCCGCTAGTTTTACTATAAAACCTAATGTAAATACTGTATTTTTTAAATAAATATTGTAAACACACCTTAAATATTACTTCAGCGTTCTTTTTCAACTTGTACGTGCTCAGATAAACACGTACGATCTCATTTCGTTTTCAATCCACAAGGCTATATGTGCTCGAATTATATTCCCAATATTTTTTTGGGAATTCGGAATGGAGCACACCAAATTTGGGAAAATGTTTCACATTCGAGCAAACTCGAAATGCAGCACATGGGCGAATAATAGAAAATAGTCCAAATTTTCTCTGTTCATAAAAATAGTAGTAAGTAACTTAAAACGAAAATAACATCCTATAGTTCAGTTGAAGTTGGTTTGGCATTGGCCAAATTTTCTATCGGGTTAAGATCCGTTGATTGCGCAGAGCGTGGCATTACGTCAATCCTTTCGGATTCAAATAATTCCTTTGCGAGTTGGCTGGTATGTTTAGGTTATCTTATATATTTATTCATTTTTCCGGCTTGAGGTCATTGAAAATTAAAAAGATTTTTGGTTTCTTTTTTAATTTATTTTTATTTTTCCAATATTTCGATCATCGTCGATGATCATCATCAGGGATTGACTTTAAAAAACAAAAAACATAATTACATAAATATATTAACAAAATTACAAAATTGGGTTCCAGTTACATTTTATTTTTCTTATTAACACTGATTAACTTCCACTCTCATTCTTTTATAGTTTGCCTCGCGTGTTAAAATGTTAACATATTTAAAGTTAGGTGTGTGCCCAGTTTGAGAACAGTGTACTGCTAAGGCTGTTTTTTGTTCTAGAGGTTTGTTTTTATTTTTATGATCAGATTTGTGGTCGCTTATTCTTGTTTTTAGTTTTGTCTTTGTAGTGCCAACATATACCTTTTGGCATATGTTGGACTTGTCACCATTTCACTTGATTTCATAAACTAAATTAAATTGCTCGTCTGGAGGGGTTTTTGATTTTGATTATCTTATATAGATTATCCTATTGAAATGTCCATTTAATGGGTATTTCCTAACTGGCATATGGTAGGATAATGCTCGTTAGAGCATTCCAGCACTTAAGTGTGAATAAGTCTTTTGTGTCTCGTACCATCGCTCGTTATCGTGATACTGGTAGCATAGCCCGACGTCAAGGAAGTGGACGGAAGAAAACAGCAACATCAGCAGAAATGGCTCGAAATGTAAAGAAGCGACTTGATCGAAACCCGCGTCGCAGTTGTCGAAAACTGGCTCGGGAGCTGAACACATCGCAATATTCCATTCGGCAAATATTAAAAAATGAGCTTGGGGTAAAGCCATTGAAATTCCAAAAGTGCAAGAACCTACACAGCAACAGGAAGAAAATAGACAGGAGCTAAAGAGTTGCTTCGCTTGACCGAAAGTGTTGAACTGCCGAATTTTGGTTTCTCCGATGAGAAAACATTCGTTGTCCAGCAGTTTGTAAACAAACAAAATGATCGTGTTTACTTGCCAAAGAGGTCAGCTGAAAATGTGCACCTTCGGTTGGCCACCAGAATTCAAGTGCCGGTCATGGTGATGGTGTGGGCCGGCATAATAGCCGATAGTCAGAATAAATGCCGAATATTATCGCGAAAATATTCTGGGGGGTGTATTAAAGCCTTGGGTACCAAAACATTTTGACCACAGACCTTGGGCATTCCAACAGGACCATCGCACACAGCACGCGTCACCCAAGAATGGTTACAAAATGAGGTTCCTCGCTTCATTTACAGCGCACAATGGCCACCAAAATCATCTGATACCAATCCGTTGGACTATTGTGTCTGGAGTATTTTGGAATGCAAGGTGAGCACTAAAAAATACCAAAGTGTCGATCATTACAAAAAAGGGCTTCGCCGGTAATGGACCAAAATACCGAAGAGCAACATTCGTGCAGCGTGTGACGGTTTCATTGGCCGTTTGAAGGTCATAATTCGTGCCAAAGTTGACCAAATCGAACAAATCTAAACTTATTCTAGAATTTGATGCTATTTCCGACATTTTTGTTCTCATTCAATAAAATTAAAAAAAAAAAAAATGATATCGTTTGACTTTGTTGCAGTTTTGTTTTCATCTCACCCTGAATACATTATTTTCGATCAATCTCCGGCGTTCAACCACATCACTGATTTGTAGATTTAAATTAGTTTTTATCATTTCAGAGGACGCTAAATGGTTCACCCTACGAATACTGTACCGTACTAGGCACCTATCCTCCAAATTTCTAGTGCCACGTCTACGGCTACGTTGTTCAAGTCTTTTCTTATCTCTTATAGCGTTGAATACCTTTGTAGCACTGTATCCAATGATATTTTACATTTCTTTGTACCATTTTTCTGCATATTTCTCGGCACTTTATTCACTTTCTTGATCTTCAAATTCGATTCTTCAAAATGATTATACCAAAGACAAACTATACGCACGCAGTTTGTTCGAATGGCATTTGTAAATTGATCAACTGCACTACAATTTTTATGAACACAACTGTAAATATATTCTTGGTCTGAATAAAATTCTATGTCTGCATACATTGGTAATACTCTTACGATGTTTGGTATTGAAAATGGTACACATTCATGCCCATGTTTTGGTATAGAATACCGGCAATAATTTTGGGATGTAAGGTAAGCTTTCAACCGAATTGATGTTTTGATTTATCATTGGTTAGCAAATCTTCCTACTAAACATGTTCAATACTGGTCCACGTTTATGGCATTTCTTGTTTATTTTCCACACATTTTTAACATATGCCTTAGAATACACGTAAGAATTCTTATAATAACGAGAAAGCCATTATTTTCATTAATATCAAAACTATTTCATACTTCTATTTTAGCACTATTTGCGCTCATTTCTCTCTCTCTCTGTTTGGATATGTATTCCCCATTCATTGTTGGACTGTATTTTGTTTAGGAAATGTCCCCTGTATCTCCCCTCACTCGCTTGTTTTTTAGTTTTGCAACTGCTTGCTTGCTTCTCTTGTTTACAACCGCGATCTCTCCACTCACTCGATTGTGGCTAGTTTTGCATACCATTGTTTCTTAATTTCGGGCACCGACATACCTCTGCATTGATGTCATAAAATTCGCATATGTATTTTCCAAATTATTTCGATATAAATAACAAATAAGTGTTGATACGAGCAGCAAGCTCAACCGATAGTCTAATTTATAGAGTCTATAATATTTTGAAATTTAATATTTATTTAAGACATAGACATAAATATGTAGTTAACTTTAAAAATATTTTCTAGAATGAATCCATAATTCGAAAACGCGTATATACCTTCCTTGGTTATTAATAGCTTTGCTCATTCATTTCCTGTAAATTTTATGGATTGCAATTTCAGACAAAAACACAACAAAGCATAGCGTCTGCATTATTATCATTCCAACAAAAACAAGACGTAACTTGTCCCAGGTCAATGCGATCGGTTCCATTTTACTAGACTTCTTTTTTTGTTCCGACGACTCGAAAACTCCTAAAGAATCCAACATCCATTTTTTAAGAATACCAGCATAATTCAAATTAGACAGTATCCGATTGAAAGGTTCCAGCAAAAACGATTGTGGCTGCATGTAGGCACAAATTTGATTTACCACCACCGTGTCGGGTAACATTTCAAATTCGTCGTAAAGTCGTGTAGATTTTAAGAATGCCTGATATTGCCAATAATTTGTTAGCATGGCCACCGGGTACTTTAGTTCGAGCATCTGTTCATAACTCTCGAAATCATGGGTATAATTTACATGCTTCAATTGCGTTGTTGGAATCTGTAGAGCATGAATCAAATCTTCGGCAATGAATTTATTCTTCAAAAATGTGTAATTATTGGCAATTAATTCTGGAACCGATTTTGGTTCACGATTTGGTTTCATGTGAAAAGCTGCAAACAATTTGCCTTGAAATGAGCCATTGATTACAATGAAGGCCATTGTAAAAATTATTACAAACAATCGAATACTTTTGTAACGATATTGGATATTTCGAGAATTGCCCAGAGCCAAGCCAAAAATATCCAACCAGGTTATTTTGAAAGATTTGGAAAAATGATATAACAACTGGACCACTGTTATCTTTACAACCAATACAAAAATGCAAAACAACCAGACACGAAAACCAAAGGGTGCCAACAACCAGTCGCCATGTAAGAAATCCATTCGCCCCTTTTTCGAAACCACCACAACGGTGGGCGTCAAAAAATACATCACACTGGAACCAAAATATCGAGCACGCGTTGAATACTTGTAGTAGCCCATTATAAGATCTATTCTTTTTTCTTTCAGCTCGAAAAATATTCCAGTCGAACTGCCGTTTTCATAAACCTCGCTGGTCAAGCTATCGTTGATGTGATGGATGGTAGTGCGGAAATTTAATTTCTTCGCCATCATGCGCATAATATCACCTTGCAAGCCCCAATATTGATCGCTATATGTGCGAGGTTTTTTTCCATTCTTGTCGAAGAGTGGCACGGCAGGTCTCATTGCAACCTCAATGGGGCATTGATGAAAATCTCTCAACTTATTGGGGAATATTTCTTCAAATTGCATTAAGCCTTTGCGAAATGTATTGAATCGACGTGGCTTCGTGTTACGGCATTGTCCTGGCCGAAACACATCATAGCTATACCAATGAAATGTCATATTGCCGACATATGTTGCTACCACGATGTCGACAATATTTCGTTTCATTGCTTTTTGGAATATTTTTTGTAATTCTTGGTGGCGACGCAGGTGTTTGGCCGTTTGCATTATTAATACAAATTTGCCCATTTTTTCGACGAATTGATCATTAATATCGGGTAGTAGAGAGCTGCAAAGAAAGGGGAGAGAAAAAAACACAAAGGGTTTCATAAAATTGTACATATATGCACATATATTCTGTACAGAATATATATATCAAATAATACAAATGTCGTTAGGTTCCAACGAGACAACATTTTCAAACTCTCTTCGAAGAGGTGCGTATTCAAATCTGTCGAGAAATTTAGATCTGGGCTATATCATTGTAACTTGTCCATCAGTATTTCTTTATCATCTACGAAAACGAAATACCAACTTATAGACACTCTGGTTTGAAATATTGTGCTAAGAGCTTCCGCATGCTATTTTGTTCTGTGGAATTTTGTCATTCCAAAATTTTATGAATTACATAGTTGATCACGCCATTATCTTTAACAAATAACCAAAATTGAAGGAAGACAATTATCTTACATTTTACATGTCATCTCTGTTAACGATTAGGAAATATGGAAATTCTATAAATAGTACAATGTCAAGGCAATGAAAACTCTTAGTTATTAATTAAAAAAAGTGACATTGTTAAAATTTTAGTGTTATTCAAGTTGTTGCAAAAATTAAAATAAATTAGTTTTAATAGTTGGTTTTTTCGAAAGTAATGGTCAAAATTTGAACTTCAAATTGCACAATGCAATCTGAAGATAACGAAAGGAAGGAGATTGAATAAAGGGTAGTTTAATTTTAAGGACTTGGAACAAATGCTGAGTTGTTTCTCCCAAATGTGTATGACCGCATTCACCGAAATATCCGATAAAATCTATTGACTGGGTCGACTATATGACGCATTACCCCACAAGAGAAGCTCCTATGTTCGTACAGTAATCTAGATATATCCTACCTTGCATCTTTGATGGACATGAAACCGAGTTAAAAATAAAATTTATGATCTCTCTAGAATATTGAAAATCGCCTATTTTAAAGTACAGGTTCGATTTAAGGTGAATGGGGCACCAAAGTTCCTCTATATCTTTCGATTTGCACGAAATTTAGCACAGAGTACTGAATTAAGTGCAGAGTGATGTGTACCAAGTTTCGAGAAAATCGGTCCAGATTTAGATATAGCTCCCATATATAGTTTCGTCCGATTTAAGGTAATTTGTGCACACAAAGTCCCTACATATCATTCGATTTGCACGAAATTTGGCATAGAGTACTGAATTAGGTGCAGAATGATGTGTGCCAAGTTTCGAAAAAATCGGTTCAGATTTAGATATAGCTCCCATATATATTTTCGTCCGATTTAAGGTAAACGGTGCACACAAAGTCCCTACATATCATTTGATTTGCACGAAATTTAGGTGCAGAACGATGTGTGCCAAGTTTCGAGAAAATCGGGTCAGATTTAGATATAGCTCCCATATATATTTTCATCCGATTTTAGGTAATTGGTGCATCAAAGTCTCTGAAAATTATTTGATTTGCACGAAATTTGTCATAGCGTACTGAATTAAGGCTAGAATGACGTGTGCTAAATTTCGTGAAAATCAGTTTAGATTTAGATATAGCTCCCATATATTTTTGGTGCACCAAAGTCCCTATATATCTTTCGTTTTGCACGAATTTTAGTATAGGGTGTAATATAAAGTAGTCTATGGCAAGTTTCCCCGAAATCGGTTCAGATTTATATATATAACAAAAACGCGTCGTCTGTTAGGATACATATGTAGAATATACCCAAAGTGGTGAAGGGTATCATATGGTCGGCCCAGTCCGACTGTACTACTTTCCTTACTGGTTTACGTTAAAAAATGGAAGATCTTCACCGATCTTAGTTATCCTGGTTCCTACTTTGCTGGTGTAAAATTAAAAAGTAAAAGTTTTCCTTCTTTAAATATATCTAATACAAATAGATGATTAAATTATAAAACAATGTTATCGTGAATACTGTATAATTTGTTGTGCTATAATTCCGAATTCCATCACTATTCCTACATAAAATATGAAGTTTATTACCATTATGGACTCTTCATACACAAACACTAATTTCCGAATCTCTTTTTTATTTCCATTGTACAGATTTCAAAAGTGATCGAAATTCAATTCTACGCTCAAACAGCAATCAATATCCAAAATGTTAGGTTTCCAGCACTATCCGTTCACCCAAAATCCAAATTGAACTAAATCCAACGGTAGTTTTTATTCCAAAATTCAGGATTTCAGTTTTATTCGTTTAGACAAAATCAAATTATATCAGTTCTACATTCCAAAAGTAATCATTATTCCAAATTTTAGATTTCCAGCTCTCTTCGTTATCCACATTGTTTCAAAATTAGTGCATTTAGGACTATTCGTATACATGAATTCGAATTTCCAACAGTAATCTTAATTCATAAATCCAAATTTAAGAATTCCAGCTCTATCTGTTCACAAAAATCCAAATTGTACTCATATTCCAAAACTATATCAATCCTACACTCCGACAGTAAATTTAGTTACAAATGTCAGTATGCCTCGTCTACCCGTTCACCAAAGTTCAAATTGTACCAAATTTAGTTATTTTCGTATCCATAAGTTCAAATTTCCAAAATTACCTGAGTCATGCATTCGAATAATAATCTTAAGTCCACATTTAAGTCCTATCCGTTCACCAACAACCAAATTGTACCAAACTTAGTACCATTTATTACTATTACAAATTGTACCATATTTAGTACCATTTAGTGATTTTCGTCTCCATAAGTACGAAATTCCAATACTACCTTAATTCTGTAATTTTTATTCCAAATATACGTTTTCCATTCCCATCCGTTCACTCAATACTAAATTGTATTAATTTTAGTATCTCAATACTGCACTCAGGATGCACTAGGATATCAGTCCTATCCGTCCACACAAATCCAAAAGGTACTATATTTCGTATCACTTTGCACTTTTCGTGTCCATAGGTACGAATCTATCCTACTCTCCAACAGTAATTTTAATTCCAAATTTCAGGATTCCAGACCCTATCTGTTCACGCAGAAACAAATTGTATCATAGTTAGTACAAGTTGGTACCCATAAGTACAAATTTCCAAACAGTAATCTAAATTCAAAATTTTATGATTCCAACTCTATCCTATCACCAAAATGCAAATTGTACCAATTTTAGTACCATCTAGCGCCTTCCGTACCCTATAAGTATGAAAACTACAAAACTACCTTAACCTTGTGAAACTTTCAGAATCGCAACTCTACCCTTAGTATTTTTCATACAAATAAGTAGGAATTTCTAAAATCCTTTTCATACAATTGAATTTCAAGATTCTCCCTATATATACGTTAACTATATATACAATTAGAACTAAATTTAGTACTTTTCGTACCCTTTTCTATCTTTCCATCAGTGACCCACATTCCAATTCCCGAATTCTGACCTAATACAAAGGATACCATATTTAGTACTTTTCGTACCCTTCTAGTTCGAATTTCGAAAAACACAGCCTTATTTCACGCCTACACACCACCAATAACCCACACT